AATGCTCGCGCATCGTCAGCAGAGCCAACGCGCCAGTCTTGCAGCGGCCGTGGCCCCCTGCTGCGCGACCCCTGCCTGCGGTGACGCCAACAGGCGGCCGCCAGGCAAATGTCCTGGCAGGCTTCACTGGCGGACGCCATCGCTGACGACATACACGCGCTGCAAGGGGCTGCCTGCCTCTCCACAAGTTGTCTGATCCCATGAGCCTGCTGGACGGCTCCACAAGCAGGCGAGCGTGGGACGCTGCAACAATCCTGCACTTTCCCGTCCTCGGCTCAGCGGCTCGCACAATGGCAGCTTCCCGGATGGCCGGCACTCACGGCGCGCAGGCGCGAGCTTGGCGGTGGTCGGGCTGTCGGCGTGGGGTGAACGCTTTTCCTACGATGCGGATGCACTCCCAAGGCACTGCAGCGTTCCTACCCTGACCCGTCCTGAGCTCAGCGGCAGGCACGCTGGCAGCGTCCCGGATGGCCGGCGCACCGCGCGCGCAGGCATGAGCTTGTTGGCATTGGGGCTGCTGGGGTGGGCGCCTTTTCTGGCGTTCGCTGGAACAGCATGCGAATCGGCATGCTGGCGATCCACGGTGTGCATGAAAGCATCGCGCCCATCAAGCAGAGCGGGTGAGACGCAAGGCACGGCAGAGCGGGGGGGGGGGGGCGCTGCTGAAGCACCCTCAAGGCGCCGCACAACTTTGTCGCAAAACAATAGCTCTGGGACTAGTTTGCAGTTGCCTGTCACGTGAACTTGATATCGTGGATCAGGCCAGTCATTGTAGTACATCATGCCGCACAGCAATCCCATTACACCAGACATCTGCAGAGACATCTACTATACAAACGGTTTGCAAAATCACGTAAGGAAACGCCACGTGTCATGGCCAGGGCTTTGTGGATGATAACCCCGTCAACGCCCATGCCACCCCAACATGGTCAACAACTGTCACATTGAAAATCAATTGGCTGTACATGGGCCCTCTCACGATGAAAGTCATGCATCTGAATGGAGGAGTTGGTCATTCCACGGTCATTCCAGGATGCGTGCGCCCTCTAGCCACACTACCGCTCCCCGCGCCGCCGTTGATGTCGGCCCTTGCGCTCACCTGGCTGCCACAGCCACCTGTCGTCCCCCAACGCCGCTGCCAGCCGCGCGTTGTACGGCGCGTAAAACCCCCGCAGCAGCCGCCGCGTCTCCGGCAGCATAGGCGCCCGCTTGCCCCCAGACTTGTTGCGGACGGGCGCCGCCAGCATGGCGGCCAGCGCACTGCTGCTGTCAGGGTCGGCCACCCCAAGAAACGCCAGCGCCGCCCGCAGGTGTGCCTCCAGGGCGAATGTGTAGTCCTCGTACCGAATCATCAGCAGCTGCTCGCGCGGCCAGTGGTCCAGCCAGTCCTGGCAGGGCGTGAGCACAGCATTACAGGCAAAAGGCGTGTGTGTTGCAGTTGCATCCTTGGGTTGCCGGGATGCTGCTAAAAACCAATGCTGGATGACGAATGCTGCGCAGGATGTATGGCAGGGGGAGGAAACGAGGTGGGCAGTTGGGCATGGCAAGCAGTGTTGCGAGCAACACAAACCAAGCCAAGCACTGGGCTCCAGCATCGCGATTTCACCAGCCCCGCCCTCCCACAAGCGCTCACCTTCAAGAACTCCCCGTACATGCCCTTGACGAGCTGCTGCGGCTGGTAACCCCGCACGCACGACTGCTTCCCACGCGCCCCCACGCAGGCGTGCCAGGCGGCAATGTCCCGGACTGTCTGATTGTGGAAGTCCTGGGGGCTGGCGGGGGCCAGGTCCTTCTGCCACCACCTGGATCAGGCGATGCGGAAGCCATCAAAGACGATCACGCCAGTGACGTGGGCGTAGAGGAGGGGGCCTCCGTTCACATGTGCGGCGCTGCAGCGCTCGTCAGAGCTGCCTGTTCAAACATCCAGGCGCCTGCATACGCAGGCATCGCAAGATTGCCCAGCCCCTGATACTCTGCAGTGGTGCCGCACACCCAACAGGTACATACACACGCACGCACAAGCATGGTACGCTCGCATGCGCGCATGCTACAGAGCACCCAACACCAAACAGGCCCACACACACCCAACACACGCACATACACACACACACACTCACACACACACACACACACTGCCAAGCACTTGCCGGTAGTAGTTGTAGGCGCTGTACAGCCTCTCCCCGGGGTCCCTCAGGATCAGGATGAGCCGCAGGTAGGGGGCTGCCTCCCGCAGCAGCAGCGGCATGGTCACCTCCAGGCCGTCTGGGCGCGAACCTGCCGGCCCGCGAGCGTAGACGCCGTTGGCGCTGGTATACGTGTTGGAGGACGCCTGGGGCGGTTGCGGTTTGGAAAGTGGCAGAGGTCGATCAGGGGGCGGGTGTCAGGGTTTGGGAGGCGTCCATCAAGCAGGGAGAGGGGAGCGATGAAGGGCCGTCCGCACCCCAGGCAGGAAGCCATGAGGGCTGTCAAACAGACACCACGAAAATGTGAGCCCCGTAGAAGCAAGCTGCAAGGCGTGGAGTCGCAACAATGCGTGCCTCGCCGGTGACTGCATCAGGCCGGCTCCTGATGATGTCAGACGCGATGGAGAAGAGCTTGACATAGGAATCAAAGTCGCCTTTTCCGCCGACGCCGCAGGGGCCTGCTGGTGGGTACGGGCACTCGTCCCAGAAGTGGGGCCCCTGCGGTGCGCAAGGGCATGTGCATACGGCTTCAATCTCGGCATGATTCGCTAGAGGATTGATGGCTTTTGGCGGTTTGATGTTCATGCAACGTACCACTGCATTGGTGTGAACCTAAACACTCAGCGGGCACTCAAGAAATCAGCAACTCCCTGCTGCAGTTATTCTTGACATGTGCAGCAGTGTGTCTTTGTACCCCACAACTTGCGCCCCAGCGCTCCCCCTGGAAACCTGCCTTGTTGCGTGCGGCCAGGACCCCTTGGTGCATTGTAAGGCGTGAGTAAAGGTCTGTAGTGCCACACTTGCTTACACCTGGAAGAGTGGGCCCCGGGGTAAAAGGCGAACAGGCACACCCGGGTGGGACAAGGAGCGGGTGGGCGCTTGTGGCGTTGCACGGCTGTATCTCAGGCGAGCAGGGCATGGGGCGATAGGAAGGTCCTAGGGCAGCGCGTTGGTAGCACTGAAGAAGGACTCCTTACAACTCAGCAACAATGTCACTCTACAAGCATTGGAATGCATTGCCTGATTGCTGCTGCCCCTATCAAAAGGCATAACGCGTCACACTCTTCCCATCCGCCTCACAACCAGTAAGTGCCGCCTGCATCCCACCACTTGCCCACGCACCAATGATGTGGAAGTATGGGATGCACACCAGATCCGGCCCCGAACCCCAGCAAGGATTCCGGTAGTCTGGGTTGAACTCTCGCGGCAGCAGTTTGAAAACGTCCGGCGACAGCTGCCGTACACTCTCATACCTTGGGCCTGGCTTCCAGCTCGACCAATAGGATGCTGCAGTGTTCAGGGGAGGCCTGGCCTGGGCTGCAAGGTAGGAGGTGGCGGCGGTCTCGATCGCAGAGGGCTGGGTCGAAGGCGTGGTAGAGGCTGCCGCTGCAGCGATCGCTGCCACTGCCGACGCCTTTGCTGCTGCTTCTGTTGCTGCTGCTGCTCCTGCTGGTAATGCAGCTGTGCTGCCGCCGGTTGTCAATGACTTCTCCTTGACCTGCTGCTGCTGCTGCTCAAGCCTCTCCTGATGCTCAAGCCCCTGGTGCTGCAGCAGGCCGGCAGCCGGCGCCACATTTGCCATGTTGCTGGTGCTGCTCAAGACTACCTCGACCCCTGGTACGCCCAACCCGTCGCCAATGCTGGCGTCGCCACCTGCTCCCTCGGCTGCCGCTGCGGCCCCTGTGCCGTCAGGCCGCGGCATCCACCCCGCTGGCCCGGCCGCGATCGCGAGCGAGTGCTGGTATCCTGCTGACAGGGCAAGGATCTGCCAACCGCCGCTGCCAAGCTCCCCGAGGACACGTCTTGGCTCTGAGATCGCATCCGGCGCGTCGCCCGGCGCGGCGGCGCCGGTGGCGGCGTATGCATTGGAGCCGAAGCCGAAAACGGCGTCCGCGGTCGCCGCCAAGGAGTGGTACTGCGCGTGCGCGCGAGGCAGCAATCAGCGGCGTGTGACGACGTGTTTGCGGGGCAGGCGCTCAGCGCGCACACATCCCTCGGAGCCCCTGTCCCGCCCAAGCAGCACGGCAGAAGGCGTCCTCGTTTGCCCTGCAAGCGCATACCAGCACATCTGCCGCGCACCTCCCCCGCAGCCACCAGCTGCACGGGCCGGCCCGCCAGCTCCCCCCTGACCAGTCCCGGCACGTCGTGCCGCCCGCCGCGCCCGGCCGCGCCGCCCGCACGCCCGCCGCCGCCCCAGCTGTAAACCTCTCCGCGGTCTGTCGCCACGAGCGCATGCTCGCGCCCCGCCGCGACTGCCACTGCGCGCCCGTGGATGCCGTCCACCTCGCCAGGCGCGTGCGGCTCCCCTCCGCGCCCGAGCTCGCCCGCCGCGTTGGGCGCGCGGCGGTCTGGCAGGGTGCCTGCGTAACCGTCGTCCCCCGTGGCGCACGTGAACACGCGCCCCTCCCTCGTCACCGCGGCCCAAAACACGTAGCCCGTCGAGACGGCCGCCACCGCGTGCCCGGCGAGCGTGCCGCCGACGCCCCTGGGGGCAGCGGCGCGGTCGCGGGGGGGCGGCTGGCCAGAAGCTGCCGCGCAGCCGTCCAGGCCCCAGACCCAGAGGGCGCCGTCTGAGGCGACAGCCTGGGTGCTGTAACGGCCGGCGGAGACGGCGACAATGCGCACCCCTGCACGGCGCCGGTCCAGGACGGGCCGCGCGCTAGATGTAGTTGTTGACGCGGCGAGCGGACTTGACGCGGCTCGAGAGCATGCTGAGGATGCTTGGTCCGCTGGAGGCACTCAAGCACTCAAGCGCGGCTCATGGCCACAGCCGTGTTCCCACTGCCACCGCCAGTGCCGCCACGCACCTTCCGGCAGCTCCACCAGGCCCGGCAGCCCAGACCTGCAGCTCGCGCCTTGCGTGCAGCCGCCGCCCGCGCCGCCGCTCCCGGCGTCCCCTGCATCCGCCGCCAGCTCAGCGCGTCGCCCCAGCTGGCCCCAGTCGTTGAGGCCCCAGGAGTACACGCGGCCGTCCGAGGTCAGCGCGACCGAATGGTAGCGCCCGGCAGCTACGCCGACGACGGCCTTGCCCTGCGCGCGTGCCCGATGCAGCGCCATTGAGTGCCCGGTCAGGGCGGTCGGTCTGTCTGCATCTGACACAATCTGGACAACTCAGCCAGGTGGCGGCAGTGCGACAGCACTTCTGCAATTGCAAGCTGCTGGACGCATTATGGGTCCCCAGGCAGACCTGGAAGCCTGACTGTCATGGCTGTGGAGACAGGCCCCTGAACAGCATGCATGCTCGCCTGCAAGCTCTTCTGCGCACCCACACACCTGCAGTGGCCCCAACACCAGGCCCGGCCTCTGGCTCCCCCTTCTGCCCAGCTGGCCCGAGCCCTCAATGGCAGCGCTGCCGTGGCCGCCGCCGCCCCGGCTGTCGTTGTGCCCCATCGACCAGACGCTCCCGTCAGACAGCGCGAAGAGGGAGTGGCGGCTGGCGGCCACTGCACTGACATGCAGGTGCTCCAGGGCTGGCCTGGGCAGGTGGGTATCGCCGCCCAGACGCCCCAGGCGCCACGCGGCGTCCAGGCCCCAGCTGAACAGGACACCACCGCCTGGCGTTACATGCGTCAGAGGAGACACGTGAGGGGCAGGCAGTTGCGAATGGTGGCTATGCGGCTGTATCCTTGTAGTGCACAAGGCAAGCAGGAATCTTCTTGAAAGGTAGTGCGTGGTTCATGGCACTGTCTGTTGGGATGTTGCAGCCCCAGCCGCAGCACACACCAGGCGTCAGCGAGCGGGCGGCGCACCAGCTGGCCGGACGCCACGCTCTGCAGCCGCCGCGACGCGACCGCTCTCGTCCGCTGCCTGCTCACAAGGTTGAGGCGGGGCGGCGCAATACCTTGGAGCTGGCGAAGCCCGCCAGGTTAGGAACCTCACTAAAGTGATCGTTACCAAAGTGACCGACTTTGGTGCGAGTGTCTGCTGGCTGCCACCAACAAGAGCGCTGGCCGCCACCACCCACCGTTTGCATCTGAGCTGTAGAGGCAACAGATTTGTCACCTTTCTGGCTTGAGATGCTGACAGTTCTGTGATGGTGAAGGGGGTTGTTGATGTGGTGATGTGCTCCCAGGGCGTGCGTAAGGCCGAGGAAGCGGCACATTATCAGGTGGGTGCAGACAAATTGATCGGGTGCCTGTCAGGGTTGGATTGCAGGTCACTCGGGGCCTTATGTCTTCAAGCTTGTACATGCGCCCCTGCAATCAAAACAAACCTGGCCGCCACGATGCAGAGTGCCAACAGCAGGCCAGCAAGCACTGCCGCGCGTGACAGGGCGGGGGTGCCCTTGGTGCGCTCAGAGCTGCGGCTAATCCTGCTGTCGTTACTGGGCTCCTCCGCATGCTTCGTCCTCCTGCTGAGCAGCCCCATTTGCCTTGGGACCCTGCCGCCGCTGCGCGAAGTTGGCTGTTTATTCGCCCCCACGAGGCTGAGCTCCTGAGCTGCAGCTCCGCTGTGCGGAGCGTAGGCGACGCCTCCCGTTGCGCGCAGGCATGCTCACGCGTGAAGATCTGGGCAAGTCAGTCACCAATTGCTTTCTGAAATGTTTGATATACGTTGATATGCATCCTACAGGGGTGTGCTGCTGATGCATGACACCCAGATCACGGAATCATTTCAAAGTAGAATGCAGCCTCGTGGCTCCGCACCACGGGCCGTTTGTAAGTAAACCTGACTGAAACCTTCCACACATCCATCAGCTGTTTCAGTCCACGCCGTCTCGCTGCAATCACTTTTGCATCCAAAGGCACAGCGAGCTACACTCGCCTGTTCAAATATCAGGTTTCCAATCACATGAGTCTTCCCCACACGCACGTCCCGATCGGCGGTTGCTGAACTTCACACATCGGGTGACGTAGAGAGCCAGTGCGCACTGCTGCGCGGCAAAGCCATCGCCCTGGCAGTTCGCAGCCACGTGGCAGGAGCCGAGGCCGCCAGGCAGCCGCCGGATGCAGGGGCCGCTGCCGCAGCTGCTGGAGTACATGCGGCGCAAGGCGGCGCCCTCTGGCGTGAGCCGTGAGATGCAGCCGAGGCGGGCGGCAACGTCGACACCGCCAGCTGATGAAGAGGCGCTCATGTGAGCAACGATGGGCACATGCCGAGAATTGATTATGCATGATGACGGACACATGGGCGCTGCAATGTTGATATGCACCATCGCCTGTGGCATTCACGTGCCCCCCCCCCTCTGCACTGCACTGCACCCAGGCCCAGCAAGCGGGGCCCAGCTGGCGGCGCAGGTAGCATCAGTGCATGCAGCGAGGCCTGGCGAGCAGAGGCGTTGTCACGATGTCGGCCAGGCCTGGCGTGGGCCGTTGCCTTTGTGTTTGCCGGCTGGCCGGTCTTGAGGCACTCAAGCCTCATCCCAACCTTCATCTGGCGTGTGGCCACTGCTGCTGGTGACAGGGAAAGCGGTGGGGTGGGGGGCGAGGAGATGCAGCACCCTGGGCACTGTAGCCAAAGCAGCATGTCGTGTCCGCATGTCGAGAGCGCTCTTGCAGCAGCATGCTGCGCCTGCATGGGCCTGCTTGTGCCGGTACGTGCAGAGCAGTCTTGCACCGGCATGCTGCGCATGCATTTAACAACAATATGCACCCTTTGCACACCGCACCAGGGAAAGCCCACGCGTATTGAAAGACATACACCATCCTCCCTGCCCGCCCGCTCTCTCCACTCCCAACATCCGCCACCAACCCCACCGCACCTCCCCTCTGCGTCCTCCTGGCTGCTCCGTCCCTGCGCAGGCCTGGGGACGCTGGCGTACAAGGTGCTGACCTTTCGGCGGTGGAGCGATGAGAACCGCTACGCCCTGCGCTTCCTGGCCTGCTTCCTCCTCATGATTGTAGAGCTGCTGTTTGAGAATTGCATGGTCTGGTGAGAAACGTACGTGCACGCACGCGCACACACACACTCTCACCCACACACGCGCGCGCGCATGCACGCGGGCGCACATGCGCCTGTACACATGCAAGCCTGTGCACGCATGCAAACGCATCGGAGACCCCATACCCACGCGCTCACGTCCATGCACCGGCACACACGCCCATTCCCTGGCACAAATGTGCACCCCAAGCCACCCCCCCCAACCCTGTCCCAACAGGATCGTCTCAGCGGTGGACCTACGAAAGTACGAGGATCCCCCTGTCGCTGCCCTGCAGGACAACGCGGAGATTGTGTTCAGGGGGCTGGCGGGCAGGGGCCGCCTGCTGCACTGGGCGCTGTACAGCGACTGGGTGCACACCAAGGAGTTCCTGGCCACCTGCCTCATGCTGGCCTTCTCGGCGGCGTGGGACCAGGTGCGTCACGGCGGACGGGGGTGAATGAGCGCACTTGACCAGTTCAGCAGTGCACACGATAGTTATCTGCCTGGCACTGAGCCTTGAAACCTTGCAATGCGGCCGCATTGCAAGGTTTCAATCAGTGCAAACTGCGACTTGCACTCCCATTTTTCTGCGCAACGATAAAGTTCCCGATGTGCATCATTCCTCCCACCCGCTTGAACCCCCAGACCCCATACTCTGGCTTTGCCATGATGTCGCGCTTTTCCGTGGCGATCTGCTTCGGCCGCCTCCTGCGCGTCGCGTGCTTCATGACCACCATCCTGCCCAGCCCGCGGCCCGGCTGCTACAAGCGCCGATTCCCGCCGCCGCCTGACAGCGCGTGGGAGATGCTGAGGATCGGGTTCACGACGCTGCGCGGCATGGGCGGCTGCAACGACCTAATCTTCAGGTGAGAAGCCCTGAGCAATGATGCGGGCGTGGGGGAGCGCTCCTGCGGGTAAAAATCCAACGTCGCCAATGGTGGGCCGGCTCAGAGGAGCAAGCTGGGCACCCTGGCGCATGAGACATGCAAAAGGGGTGAATCAAAAAGAACAGCCGCACAAACTCACCCTGGACTTGTCGTCAGCCACAGTCTGACTGCTGCGCTGCTCACGAACTCGCTTGTTGTCTGCCATTGCCTCAACCCCCGCAACTGCTGACTGGCCACCGACCGCCAACCCCAATGCACGCGCAGTGGTCATGGTGCGTTCTGGACCATAGCGCCCTGCATCCTGCGCAGCTACTACCCTGGCCACCCATGGATGCTGGCCCTGGTCTGGGTCGCCCTGATCCAGACGTCCATCCGGGACTTCTTGGAGCACATGCATTACAGCATCGACATGCTGCTGGCCGTCATAGTGACATCAGCGGTCTGGAGCTGGACACGCTGGGTCTACCCCGAGAGCGAGCTGCTGCCGCGGCGGCCCGAGGGCGCGCCGCCAGACCCTACAAACCCGTATGTTCTGGGGATTGTGGCATTTGGGCTGTTGACGGCGGCGGTGGTGGCTTTCGTGGCAAAGGCTTGACAGGGACCGCTGTCGAACACGCCCTGCTATAAGGTTATTAAATCTAGTCGGTAATCTTCAAACAAAAACACAACACAAGCTTTTTGAACAGGTCCAATCGCCAGCCAGCAACTATTGGCTACTGGCGAAGGGCCATTGTGTGAAGGGTGCCATGCAGACAGTCAAAAGCATACTCAGGTACCACAAGCCATGGCCAGCCACTCACGCCGCACTGCCTTCACCATCACACCCCTATTTGCTTTTGCCTTTCTGTTTTCCCTTGCCCTTGCCCGCCTCCCCCTCCTTTCTATGTTTGCCCTCCTTGTCATCCTTGCCCTCCTTCCCCTTCTCCTTCCCACCCTCTTTGCTTGCCTTGCCGCCGCTGCCGTCATCGTCCTTCTTGGCATACACACGCGCCGCCGGCACGCTGACCAGTTCCGCCCCCAAGTCTTGCAGTCTGGGCGGCCTCCGCGCCGACAACTTCGCACGCAGAGCCTCGGACGACGCCAGGCCGTCCGGCGGCGGCAGCACGCAGGCGGTCAGGGAGTTGCCGTAAACGCAGCCAGTGTCGAGGCCCGTGGCGGCGCGCTCGCGCTGAAGGGGTGGAAGCAGCGAGCAAGGCAAGGCAGCACGCGCGTGCGGGTTGGTAGGGTCATGTAGGAGGTGCAGCTGTCACAAATGAATATCTAGCATAGATCTCTTTCACAAGGGGCCATCTGGGCAGTGTGTCAGATCCGTGACTATCAGGAAATTATTTGCCGCCTATGCCGCCACAACGCATCGACAGCCGCACCTGCAGCCCCCGCTTCGCGTCGTGCCCAAAAACCACGTGCTGTGGCCCGTCCCAACACTTGGCCCACGCCGCCGAGCCGCCGCCTTTGACGCCTTTTTCTAGCCACTCCCAGGACGCGTCGTTGGCCAGCCGCGTCAGATCCCTCATCTTGTAGAGCACTGCCAAGTCCTGGCTGGCCAGATTGACACCAGGGATCACTCCTGGGGTGACGTGATGGCAAGTGCCAAGCAATGCGGCGGCAATGACATCAGACACCTCCAGCGGGACAGTGGGTTGTGTCGCAGCAGTAGGGTCGCGGCCCGCGGCTGAAGACCTCAATACAATATGCAACCATCACAGTTCCACTGCCCCACACCTGCACGGCAAATGCACGCGCCGGTTGGTCCCACACCCGCGCACTACCCGTGTAAGGCGAGTGACCCCGCCCCCTTTGTTGGTGAGGCTTATCCCCTGCTCGCAACGCGCAGCCCTGCTGGGCCCCTCACCCGCGTGCACCACAAGCAACCCTAGCTGCGGCAGGCTGATAGAGAACGGCAATCTTGTCAGGTAGTCCAGGGCCTCTCGGTCTTCACTCAGCCCTGCCGCCCACTTGTGCTTCCCCGGCACGTCCCTGCCGGCTGCTATCTCCCTGTGCGCGGCCAGCGCAGCGTCGTCGTGGTTGCCCCGCGCCGCCCAGGCGCCGAGCTCCCGCGCGGTGCGGATGACCTGCAGGTGTGGACATTCAGGACGAGCGGTCGCGCGGCAGCCGGTGAGAGGGGGCCACGCAGCTCGCCCGACTGCTTTGACGCACGGGGCGCGCAGGCGCCGTGTTGCGGCTGCGGTCTCCGTGCGTGAGCGGCGGCGCCTCGGAAATCGGCAGGGTGAGGGGTGGCGCCGCACGTGCCTCTTGCCTGCATGGGTTCCGGGCCCTTGCCGACCAGGTCCCCCACTAGCAGCAGGTTGTCGAGGCCAGCAATGAACCCCAGCTTGGCCAGCAGCGCCGTGAGCTCGTCGCTGCAGCCGTGCACGTCGCCTACAATGACGACGCGCCCGCCGCCGCGCAGCTGCCCTGGTGCGGCGGTTGTGAGCTCGAGGTGCAGGACGGGCGGCGGCGGGCTGCCTGCGGGGGCGCGTGGTGGGCCGGTGCGGGAGTGAAGAGGTGGCGGCGCCGCTGCGGCCGCTGTCGATGCGTTGCTGTGGTCTGCCGTCTGCGGATCTCCGTGCAGCACGGCAGGCCAGGACGTGCGCTCGCCTGTGCGTACCATAGGGTGTGGCGGTCACTCTGGAAGCAGTCGCAGCAGCCGCGGCGGTGGTGACAGGCTGCGGGGCGGGCGCCACGGCTGGGGCAAGGACTGGCGAGGTTGCGGCGGGGCGGGATGTTGTGCCCCCCATGATAAGCTTGGGCCCGAGCATATGTGAGGTGAATGAAATTTCTACATACTCGTGAAGAATAGCATTCAAACACGAATGAAGAAGAGTGCACAGCAGCAGAAGAGGCAGTTTGTCTGGGTGTGTCTGCGGTGATACCGACCACACCGCGTGGCGCCTGCCACAATCATGACACCATGTGGGCCTCGATCGTAAAGCAGGCGGCCGCGCCCTCTGCGTCGGGCTCGGCGCAGCTGACGAGCTCCGAGGGGCTCAAGATCGTGGTGGTGGACGCAAACGCCGTCATAAATGGCATAAGGCTCGAAGGTATCGCAGATAAGGCTGTCACCCTGCAGGATGTGCTCGACGAGGTGCGGGACAAGCAGTCGCGCCAGTTCCTGGCAAGCCTGGCAATCAAACTAGAGGTTTCAGAGCCATCAGAGGAGTCATTGAAAGCAGGTGCGCCGCTCCCAGGGTCGCGAGCCGGTTGTTGATGCACCGGCCGCTTGCAGCCGCCGCCGCCCTTGCCGCCCCCGCACGCCGCCTACGCGCGACGCAGCCGCTCTTTGTGGCTGGATGCGTCATCAACCCCTTATATGCAAACACACTGCCCGCCCGCAGTGACTCACTTCGCGCGCGAGACTGGCGACATCCACGCGCTGTCGACCGTTGACCTGAAGCTGCTAGCGCTGGCGCACACCCTGGAGGTCTCGGCGCACGGATCGGGCCACCTCAAGCAGCACCCGGCACAGGTGAGCGCGCCCCACAGAGACGCTGCCGGCCTAACGATTGCAACGCCGCCCGCCTACGGCCAGACGAGTCTGCCTCTGTGCCCTCCGCACCGCCAGCACGAGCCGCGCCGCGATGCACTTGCACCCAAAGACGTCAGCGCCGTGACTTACAAGCCCCGCGCCCCTTTCTCGGCCCCGCATCCCCTCCACAGCCCGTCCTGCGCACCCGCCACCGCGCCGCCGGCCGCGCGCTGCCCGGCTGGGGGCGCGTCGCCAACCCAGAGGAGTGGAAGGTGGTGGACGACGCCAACGACGACGACGCGGCCGCGGCCGCCGCCGCCGCGGGCAGCCGCATCGCCGCGCACGTGCAGCAGCTCCACCTGGACGGCTCCGCGCCAGGCGGCGCCGTCGGCCTGCTCGCCGACGGCTTGCCATCTGCAGCGACGGGAGGCGCCGGTGGCGGTGCGGGGGCCCCAGCGGGGCAAGCGGAGCCGGGCACTGGGCAGCAGGGACCCGAGCAGCAGCAAGAGCAGCAGCAGCAGCAAGAGCAGCAGCAGCAGCAGCAGGCAGCTATGGAGGAGTCCTCCTCTGACGATGAGGCCCAGGTGGGCGGCGGCGACGACGGCTGGGAGGTCGCCGCCAAGAGCCACGGCGCCCAGCGGCGGAAGAAGCGCAAGGAGTACCGGCGGCAGCAGCGGCAGGCGGAGTTTGAGGCGGAGTGGGACGAGCACTCGCGCCTGATGCAGCAGCGGCGCGGGGAGGCGGGCGCGGCGGCAGACGGCGCGCGGGCCGCCGCCTCGCAGGGGGAGGGCGATGGTGTGGAGGCGCGGGAGGAGGACGATGAGGATGACGAGGGCCAGCGAGAGCCGCAGCAGCTGTTTGGCCCGGCGGGTGTCTATGCAGAGGGCGAGGAGGGGGAAGAGGATGAGGACGAGGAGGAGGAGGGGGGCGAGGAGGACGGCGACGAGGCAGGCGGGTTGGGGGCGGCAGAGGAGGGTATGGAGGAGGAGCGTGAAGGGGGCGCCGAGGCGGGCGGCAGCGGCGACGGCAGCGGGGACGAGGGATTGGAGGATGCAGGGCAGGAGGACGTGCTTGAGACGAGTGGCGCGTGGGAGGCCGGCGCCGCATCGGGCGGCGGCGGCGGCGGCGGCGCGAGCAGCGTGGGCGTGATGACGGCGGACTTTGCTATGCAGAACGTGCTGCTGCAGATGGGCCTGCGCCTGCTGTCGCGCGACGGCCGCGTGGTCTCACGCCTGAGCCGCTGGGCGCTGCGCTGCAGCGCGTGCTTCTTCGTGACGCGCGAGGCGGGGCGGCTGTTCTGCCCGAAGTGCGGCAACATGAGCCTGGACCGCGTGGAGGTGGCGGTGGGGCCGGACGGCGCGGAGTACTTTGGCGTCCGCAAGCGCCACATCCTGCGCGGCACAAAGTTCTCCCTGCCCAAGCCGCGGGTGAGCTTGTGGCACGGGCGCAAGCGCGCGTACGCGAGCTGTTGGGCCTGGGGGGCAAGGATGCAGCATGGGGCGGCGAAGCGCCGGAGGGAGTGGGGATGCGAGTGCGGGCGGGGGGCTGCGGTGAGGACGCGGGCGTGGTGGGCGAGAAGGGGTCAGCGCGGCCGGGCGCCTCGCTCCTTTCGGCGTCGAGGCCTCGGGCGCCAGTGGGCAACCCCCTTGTGCACCTCTGCGCCCAGGCGGGGCCCCACAACGCGCCTCCTCCACTTGGCTGCAGCCAGCCCCCTGCCTTCTGACCTCGGCTGACCAAAGGGCAGCTCTGCTCGCAAAATCCCCCCAACACGCCGCCACTCTCCTTCTACCAGTCATCCGCCTAGACACCCCCACACTCATACACGCACACACACACGACACAGACACACAGGCAGACACACACACACTCACATGCGCGCGCCACCCTCCTTGCCCCAGGGCGGCCGCAACAGCAAGGACCCCATCCTGCGCGAGGACGTCTTCCTGCTCAAGGTCAAGGCCTTTGGCCGCAGGGCGCAGAAAAAGCAGCCGCCGCCCTCAGCTGAGGACGCCGACCCCTTCGCGCCGGAAGGCACTGAGTTTGGGGAGGGCCGCAGCCAGGCGCAGCTCGCACAGCACAGGGGCCTGGCGCGGGTGCTGGAGCCGGCGTGGAAGCACAATCCCAATGAGAGGAAGCTGTCGCGCAGCAACAGGCGCAGGTGACGCGGGCGGCGGCCGGGCGGCGGCAGCGGTCGGTCGGGGCTCGAGCGCGGCGTGTTGTGTGCAGCTGCGTGGCCTGCCTAGCCCATGTTGGTTCAATGCAGCGGCCGGGTTTGGATGCAGGAGTTCTGTTTGAGGCCGGGTTTGGATTGCACGTGATTGACGGCTGTTTGTTCTGGTTTTCCAGCGTTTACATCAGCGTTTGTAACTACGCACAGTGATGAAATGGTGTGTGTGTGTGTGTGTGTGTCAACCACTCAACAGTAGTCAGATCAGGTGGAGGCAGACCTGTAGTCTCCTTAAGCAATGGGCTTGAGGAGGGAGGCGGTGCAAGTGATGATGCAAATATCGGGTGGGGTGGGGGCTGAGGCGGGAATTTGGTGCGTGAAAGTGCCAACCTGCTGGTAGCTGCTGCACGAACAGCGTGCGCGTCAAATCAACCCGGGAAAGTACATGCTTGTAAATCCTGACATGTGTGCATGCTGCTGAGCTAGATCGGGCTAGTGGAACTGCACATCCTGTTTGCCGGGTGCAATCACGAGCCGAGGGTGTGCCATCAGCGTCACCGGGTCAACAAAAATAGGAGCAGCACCAGTGGGTACCGCACCACCATGCAAGAGATGCAAGTTTCCGCAAAAATTCAGGGCTACCTACACCCAAACTATAAATTCCCGCCGGCTAGCTAATACCGCAGCACGGATATTTGCGCCCAGTCAGTCCCCATGCCGTCGAGCCTCACGATGACCCGCCGCACCGTGTCCTCGAACCAGCTGCCGGGCAGCTTCCCCGCAGGGTCCGGCTGGGTCAACGCGTATTGTGCCGCGCCGTTGACAGTGTGTGTCGGCACGAGCCGCGTCGATTCGCAGTCGCGCAGGGCGCCGCCGGCGCGGATCGCGACGCCGGACAGGTCTGGGCCGCCGTAATCGCCCGCCACCGGGAAGCGGCTGAACTCTGCGTAGTAAAACTGGAACCCGCCGTCCGCGCAGCCCGAGTCGATGCAGCACGGGCCCGCGGCGCACTGGTCGTCCCGCAAGCAGCCGGCGGCGCCGTCGCAGGCGCCGCTGCCGCAGGGGCAGGCGTAGGCGGCTGGCAGCGCGGCATCAATGGCGATCCTGACCAGTAGTACGTCCCCCTTGGGGCGCGCGGGCTTGCCGTCCGGGCCAAGGGGCGGCGCCGCGTTGGTGTCCCGCAGCACAAAGGTGGCCTGCTTGTTCCTTGCCTGGACCGTCTGCATGAGGTGCTGGCTGAGCCAGCCCTGAGGGGGTTTGCAAGGGGCAGCGCAGGGATGGAAGGGCATTGCCTGAGATGATTGAGGAGAGGTTGGGCTCATATAACAGCTCTTGCTTTCCACACTCCAGATGCTTGCAGCGATGTTCACACAAACACACGCGCGCGCGCGCGCGCGGCGCACACACATGCGTTCATGCAGACACACTCAGCCATGTATATTTAAGAAATTCCTCGCTCTCTCACTCTCTCTCTCTCTCACACACACACACACACACACACACACACATGCGCGCGTGCGCGCTCTTGCGCATTTACCTGTTGGACCCTGAAGTAAGCGGGAAGAGTGAGCGACGAAACACCTCCCATATAGCTGGACACGTCGCCATACCTGAGTTTGCAGTGAGGCACAAGGTGAGGGGTGAACTTGGACGGCGGGCAGCACAAACAGGAGAGGAGGCCATGAGCTTAAGGTGCTGCTGGGGTGGTATTAGCTGGCTCGGGTACTAGCAGAGTATGGAAACACGCATGTGAGGCGATGTTCAAGGCGTTTTCATGTCCAACGCTCAGTCCACGGTCGCACCAGTCAGGTCGGCACGAGGTGGGGCGGCGGTCGATGACCCCCGCGCCGTCGACGCGACACACAAGGGACCCAGTGTGAGTGAGGCCTAGGTTGTGGCCCAGCTGCGGATCACGAGTGGTGGACGTATCAAGGCGGAGTCATTAGACGGTTCATCAAAGCAAGAGCAGCCGCTAACACAGCCGGATCAGCTGGGCAGGCGAGCACCTGTCATGTGTACGGGCTGCCCACAACACAAGTAAACAACAACGTCATGGTCAGAGCCCAAATGCGTGTGGCAGCAGCAGGGGCAGCGGCTGCTAAAATCTGATGTCAGATGCAAGTGCCAGTCCTTAGCGTACCTGCGCCGCAGCCAGCGACGCCGTTCCACGCAATCGGCCTATAATCATGCACTTTGCCACACGGCCAGCTCCCCTTGCAAATCACACCAGCGCGCACGCACTCACACATACGTGTGCACAGCGTATACACAAAGAGGTACTCACACGCACGAACACACATGCACATATACACACACACATGCACTCACAAATGCACACAAAGGCACTTTCACTTCCCTCCGCCCACCTCGTGGGCTATGTACACCTTGTGGCCCTCCACCATGGTGATGGGCCCGCCACGCCCCACGGTGCCCACGGGCGCCGCAAACCCCGTCGTATGGCGGCGCCGCTGCGACGCCAGCCCGCAGCTCCACTGCCCGCCCCAGGCCCAGTAGCAGGTGCCGCAGCCGCACTGCCGGGAAAGGTGGGGGCGGAGGGGTGCCCAAGATGGCAGGCGGGTGGGTGATTGGGGCCATGAGCGCCGGGCCGGGGCGTTGTATGTAACAATCTGCAGCCATGCTGAGCTCAGAGACCCGTCTACCTCCTGCCGGTCTGAGCCGCGCTGGCCGCGGCATCAAACTGCGCATCCCGCAAGCCAATCGCCCCTTCAGCCGGGCCCTTGAGGGGGTGGCCAGCGCTGCCATGCTTCCAGACCTCGAACAACGCGGCGCGCCCCCCTGCTACAGCGGCCCCAGCCCGGCAGCGCAGCCCCTCCCGCGGCGCCTCACCCCTGGCAGGCCGCGGTACGCGCGGTCGTCCGGGCATGACGCGGCGCACTCGCCACCGTTGGGGCACGCGCTGTCGCACACGGCGGGCGCCCCCGCGGGCTGGTCGGGCTTGTATAGCGGGAAGCACACCACGTGCTGGTGCGTCGCCTCCCCAACTCCCAGCTGCAGCATCGCGTCGCTGCACCAGTCAGCGCAGATGTTGGTGTCGTTGCGCATCGAGCTGAGGGTGGCCCAGCCGTACACGTCGACGCGGCCGCCGCTGCCGTCGGGGCCGCCGGGCTTGGTAGCGTTGGACTCAAAGGTGATCTGGCCGCCACTCATACGGTAATACGCCTTGATTGATTGGGGAGGCCAGGGAGGGAGGGTCGGGCGGAGGTGGGCAGACGGAGGAGGGGGCGCAGGTGCGGTGGGTGACGAGCGGCGGCGCGGCAGGGAGGAGAGGGCTCAGAGTGCTGCTTCAGAGGTCGACGGGCGCCCTTGGCGCGTCTTTGGTACGCTGAGAGAGCGCGACTGGCGAGGGCTCAGCAGCAAACCGCATCCCCGCTGCTCCGGCCAAACCGCAAAGCATCCATCGAGCCTCAGGCACCCATCTGCCGGAAGGGATGCTTCCCCCCGCTCCGCTAAGTCGGGTGCACAAATGTCTGTGCACAAAATAAGTTGGCCCAGCGCACCCTGTTGATGGAAGTGAAGCCGTCGCACTCATCCGCAAAGATGTTCTCGTACGCAGAGGGCGGCGGCAGCTCGCCGTACTTGTAGCCGCCCCAGGTGCAGTCGCAGCTGGGGTCCGGATTGTTGGGGCAGCACGCCTCGCGGGGCGGGTAGTACTCCCGGCGCCACCTGGGGGTACGATTTTGATGCGCCAGGGAGGGGCGGCAGGGTTGCGGGGGCCGCAGGACTGTTGAGGGCGGCAGTGCTTGTGTGGCGCCAGGCGACGGGGGCTGGGCCTGCAGCCCGCGTGGTGAGGCTGCCCCTGACCAACCCGCAGAGGCGCTCCTAGCCTTGCAAAGGGCAGCAGGTTGATGCGCAGCAGGTCAAGGACCACCGGCGTGGCCCTCACTTGAGGAGAATGATGGCGAGGGTCCGCGCCTTAGTGCCGGGCGTCCGAAACGCACGAGCGCAGGCGGGTAGGGTCCCCTCCGCCGCGCCCGTGCGGGCGTCGACGGATTGGTACAGGAGGCGCGGCGCCGGGCCCAGCTCTAGGGACGCCATCCGGGGCGCCGTCGTCGCGTGTTGAATAAAACCTGCATCTGGTGGAGCGGGCACACTCTGCAGCTGCTGCAGCTGGTGCTGCTGGTGTTGGTGCTGCTGCAGCTGCTGCAGCTGCGGCTGGTGCAGCTGCTGCTGCTGGTGCTGCTGGTGCTGGTGCTGGTGCTGGTGCTGGTGCTGGTGCTGGTGCTGGTGCTGCTGCTGCTGCTGCTGCGGCCATGCCACACCTGTTAAACCCGCAGTCGCCCTGGCCTCGTGGCCCTCAATGATCAGGCGACCAAGGTAGTCAGAGACGTGTCCTGTGCCGCTGAATATGCTGGTCGTATGCACCGCAGCATTCTGCTGGCTGCGCAGCTGCCGTGACCACCAGGGGGTCGCGGCGGCAGCGCAGCGGGGCGAGAGCGCGCCACAGGCCAGCAGCAGCAGCAGCCGCAGCAGGTGCAGGGCCGGATGCTGCAGTGGTGCTGCGCCCCCGCCGCCGCGCCGTGCCTGCTGCTGCATCAGTGCTCGCTGCTGCATCAGTGCGTTGAGAGAGCGTTCAGAGGCTGCTTGCGGAAGGGGTCGCCATGGTGGAGGCACGGTTACCCGTCCCTGGCGGGGGGACGCGGCGCCAACGGTGCTTGTCGCTGTGAGTGTGCACGAAACGCCGGGTAGTGGCTCGTGCACAATAATTGTGTCTCCAACTACAGAGTGTTGAAGAACGCTGTAGGCATGAGGGCTGGAGCAGTTCGCGGATTGGAGCGAAAGCCGCGATTTTGCATCGGACAAGCTTTGGGTCAGGCGCGTCGAAATGTCCAGGTATGTCAATTCAATTTCATCTTTGACGGGGCTTACGCTCTTGCTGTGTCCTCTAGTTGCTCTTGAAAGCTGCCCTGGGGCCCAAGACGAGGTTGTGCACCACTCCACATCAGCTGCATCTCTGGTGCGGGTGACACAAGCACTCTCTGCCATTACAATGCATGGGTGGAGGGGTATGGTCATGCAACTGCTTGCAACTCACATGCCACAAAACGCACCAGAACAGATGGGACGCGCCCATGATGCTACGCTACATTGTAAGGAAACCTGGGCAGCCAGTGCATACAGCAGGCATGTTCGCCGTCTGATGGAAGGGTGATGCGGCCAGATGATTGCACACAGATTTGGCTCCTGAGTGCAGATCTCAGTTTCAAGAGATACACGGGAAAGCAGGTGACCACTACGACTTCACAGACTCACTTTGTGCCGGGTTCGCATGGGGCAATCCACGCCCAATTGACTTGATTTCGCTCACATGCGCAGGCGCACGCGCTCACGCACCCAACCACCCACCCACCCATCCACACCCACACACACACACACACACACACACACACGCACACCCACACACACACACACAACAGGAGTATGCATTCATCTTGCCACCTAAAACAGCGCGCATGAGCCTCCTTTGCGTCCTCGCCTGCTGCCTCGTACAGCTCAACCTCATTGCAACGACATACGCGCCCAAAGGTAGATTTACACGTGCTACTTGATTGTTTATAAGCAGGTTGATCATGCATCAAAAGCCGGCGGCGCGCCGCAGTGGGGCCGCGCAGGTGTCGTTTGGATTGTGAGAAGCGCAGCCTGTTGTGTGGGTGAGCATGTCGGCTGCATCCAGCCGGAAAGCGCTGTACAGCGCAACAAACGCTATTGCAGTGCATAGGGGGATCCTGAAAGGCCGCCCAGGCGGCGTGTGCGCATCTGGTACGACCAAAGAACAACATGTGTCGATCAACGAATTACGGACCTGTCCCTGCCAGCGTGCTGCTCTCGCGGGCGGCGTCCCCTTGGACGCCGCTCGGGCCGCGGCCCCCGCCGCTGCCAGTGCTGCTGCCAGCCCCAGCACTGCGCCGCGCACCACCATCAGCCTGGGCCTCACCGCTGCCGCTGCCGCTGCCGCTACCGCCGGCACGCGCGCCGCTGCCGTCTGCACCGGCCTCGGCCTGCGAGCTGCTTGACGCGGGCACATCCAACATTCCGCCCTGCACAATGGCATCAACCGCCACCTCGATTGTCGGCTGCCTGCTCATCCTGGCAGTCACCCCCACAGCACGCCCCCCCTCACACACCTCCGCGCCCCCTGGCGCCGCGCCGGCGCTGCTGCTGCCGCCGCTGCCGCCGCTGCCGCCGCTGCCGCCGGCGCCGCTGCAGCCGGCGCCGCTGCCCTGCGTCCCGTCGTACCCATACCGGCTGAACGGCGACTGCAGGCCGCCGACGCGCGGCGGGTTGGCAGCCCCCATGATGACCGAGGGCAGGCTCTCCTCGGGCTGCGCCTCAACCGGCCCCGGCCATGCGTGCGACGATGCGCCGCCGCCGCTGCTGCCGCTTGTGCTGACCCTCCGCAGGCCCCCGCGGCGGCTGACGAGCCCGGGGCCGTCATCGTCACCCTCGCTGGTCAGCGCACCCGGCCCACTGCCCCAGCGCGCCGCGGGGCTGCCGGCCGGCGACGCCGCCGACACGCGCCGCCCGTCGTCCGGGGTCACCCGCCGCCGCCGCCGCTCTGGCCGGGGCTCCGCGCCCGCCGATGCGCCCGCGTCGACGCCGACGCCGCGGTCGGCCGCGGCCGGTGCCTCCTCCTCCGCCTCATCCCCTGCCTCTGACCCCTCGCCACTGCCGCTGCCGTGCTCCTCCAGCTCGAACCGCGCCGCTGACGTCACCGAGTCCCCCAGCGACCGCAGCCGCGGCCGCAGCTCCGCCTCGGACCCGCTGTCATCGCTGTCCGAGGATCCGTACTCGAACGCGTCTCGCAGCGCCGAGGAGCCCTGCGGCTGCGCAGACGTGGACGCGCCGCCGTGGCCGCTGCTGGTGCTGGGGCCCGCGCCGGACGCCGCCGTTGCGGCGCCGCCGCCCGCCGCGCGCAGGTTCGCTGCGGCCATCTCTTCAATGTTTTGGTGCGGGCCGTGGGCGGATATGGGCAGCGCGGGCGCGAGGTAGCGCCGCTTGCGCGCCGGGTGTGACCCCGAGGACCGCGGGCGCCGCTGTTGGTTTGGGTGGGCAGGGGCGGGCGAGGCGGGGAGGGGGGAGGGAGGTGTTGGAGGGATTGCCATGCATCACGTCAGACCGAACCGCTGAGGCGCAGGCCCAAGGCTGCATGCGGCGCACACGAGCCGCAGGCGCAGTTGGCGGCAGAGGCAGCAGCCGCGCGCCAGCACTCGACGACTCACCGTGGACGAGGTGACGCTGCTGCCGCCAGCGCTGACGCCAACGCCGCCCCCGCCCACGCCTACGCCCACGCCGCCGCCACCCACACCGCCGCCCCCGCCCCCGCTCGTCGCCGCCACGCCCGCCACCGTCGGTGAGTCGCCCCCCGTCTTCGCCTGCCGCCGGTTCTTGAGCGTCATAACCACCAGGATCCCGGTCAGCACCAGCACCGCCACGCCCAGCGGGACGGCCAGCCCCACCGCCAGCGCGACGCTGATGCGGCTCG